AGCAAGGCCATAAAGCTATGAAAAAAAAATTAAAAATCATAACAGTCACATGATATTTTTATTTGTTTTCAAACAGGAGCTGTGTGGCTTAGGGAAAGGATACACCGACCTTTCCCTTCTGTGCTCTCCAGCTCCAGCGCTGCCACAGGCCTTAAGTGAAAATGAGCCTATTGGTCTCATCCAAACCCCGGCGCATGTTAGCCCACGTTACAAAACACCAGAGAATTTGGCACAATCAGCAGTTTCTGCTCAAGAGGGGCCCAGGACTGCAATAGCAGAGGTGTTAGAGATCAGGACTCAGGAACGCTGGTTGAGTTATGTGGGAAAGCAAAATACTTGGTCTCTTGCTTTCGTTGGGACTGCGTTCACTTGCACAAAATAAACACAGTATGCACAATACAAAAAAATATTTATATCACACCAAATGATACTTATAAATAAGGCAAACAGCTCATTACCACCATTCATCCAAAGGTCACAGACTGCTTTTTAAGCAGAAATTTAGCTGCGCTGGTGAAGCAGTGTAACATCACTCTTATTTTACAGATGGAAAAACTGAGGCACACAGACACCTTCCTATCCAAGACCGCACAGGAAATTTGTGGCAAGACCAGCATAGGCTCCTCATCACTGGAGTCTGCGTGTGTCGGGGTTTGGGGAGGACCACTGAGCTCGCTCGCACTCGCTTGCCTGTGGCAGAGCAGGAGCTGAAGAGCACGCAAGCGAAAGGTCAGTGGATCCGTTCCCCGAGCCACAAAGTTCCAGCCTGAAAATAAACACAAATGCAACGAGACTTTTCTCATTGGTTTTTCTTTTTTTTTTTTTTTTTAAATTTTAATGGTTTCTTGTTTCTTGGCCCCAGAAGTCAGTTTTATACCAAGTATGCGTATATATTGTATGTTACATGCTGTTATTTACATAGATTTGAGCTATCTCTAATTTGGAAGGTTTAATAAGAATAAGAAGAAAAGCTGTAGACCGCTGGAGTCTCAGGATGACGTTGTCCCCTTAGTACCATGTGATGACAAACTGTTCTAGCTGAAGTGGGTGGATGTCCTCTTCATCTTCTTTTTCCAGGTTACTGTTTTTTCCTGAACTGATATTCACATTACTTCCTCCTTACATCCTCTGAGCTGTAAACTAAATTAGACATTGTTCTGGGTCGCAGACTTTTTGGCTATAAATGCAGTTGCTTGGAGAAAAATCAAGTGTCCAGGAGAAACCAACCCAGACAAAGCAACGCTTGTGTGCTGTCTGTGACAGAAGTGGCTTGCATGGGGGTGAACCTGGCAGAAAACCGGTCGCTCCATGGCTGGGGGCCTCCCTGAGCCTTCTGCAAGGCTGGGGACATCGCCACACATCCCCAGACTGTCACTCCTACAAACTGTTCTCACCCCTCATTCCCAGGTGCCTGATCAAATGCCTCGGGCTGCTTCTGGGGACACCAGTCCCCTCCTCCACACCTTTCGTGATTTGAAGGCTGTCTCCCAGTTTGCTGTTTGCCCTCCGCAGAAACACTGTGTTGCGAGTCGTTAGATCCCATGTGAACTTCTCTGTGGATTCCTTAATTAAAAAGAATGACTTGGATGCTTGCCACTCAGTTACCCTGCATTACGGTGAGTCCCATTAAGCGGGATTACTGGCTGAGGACACAGCCACACTCACTAAGCACTAATCTGATCTTCATGGCAGCACAGAGCTACAGGACTTCTTGGGGCTTCCAGGTAACTCGAGACTCTTTGGCAAGGGGACCATCCACTGGGGGCCAGAAAGATGGGCTTTTCCTTAGAAATTGCACGGAACACTGTATTTCAATGGTGTCCCTCATATGAGCTTTCTGCCTGTGAGGAATGGGACAGGAAGCAAAAGGAAGTCACAGAGGACTCGGTGCAGCAAACGTTGGGCTGGTTGTGGTGCAGGTTCAGTCTCCAGCACGTCCAGTTAACAGTAGTTATCTCTGGTTTGCAGCATGAAGCACCAGCAGAAAATATTACAGGGAGGCCTCCAGGAAGAAAAGTCACTCTGTCAACATTTCTTAGTGCTGAAACATCTCACTAACGTTTAAAGCCAAAGAGCAGTGGTAGTGTTAATGCCGCTCGGGTGAAATATCGCACCTTCTTCAGGCAACCCCGGGGCAGTGAAACTCGGCCTGAAACGAGAAAAGTTTCCCAAAGGTGAGTTCATAGATCACAAAATGTGGAGATGGAAAGAATCTGTTCAATCATCTATCCCATCTCCCTGCCAGTTCAGAATTAATCCCCATGATGTTTTTAACATAACTGCTTTTCTCATAAAAAAAAAAAAAGGCGCGGGGCGGGGGGGGTGAGGGGGGGGTGGAGAGGAAGAAATGCCTAGAAATGGTGTATGAGATTTCCTATCAAAAACTGTTTGATTCCTTGACTAATTCTAGCATCTGCTGTTGCTTTGTTCAGAAGAGTTCAGCGTGTGCCAGGATGAAGGGTGAACCAATATTTTCTGGAGGGACTCTTCCACCACCTGCAACATCCAGCAGTTGGAAAAATCCTCCCGATATTTGGGTTGCATCTGCATTTTCTGAACTTTATTCAATTTTTCCTGCCTTCGCATGAGACTGAGCAGTTGTTCTTCCATGGTACTACTCTATGTGGTTATGGACTAGCCAACCTGGAAAGTGCTACAAGTCCCCCCTATTTCAAATATTACATGCAGACTGAGACACACCTTTGCTAAAATAATGGAAATAAGCCATGAATCTAAGAAGTGGTTTGGACGGTGCAGTTATGAAAGAAATCATCCTATTTCACTGCGGGGAACAGAAGGACAAAGACTGTTTTTCACCTCCAACTGAGGATTCCGTGTGTCTAACCTTATTTTTTACCCAGTTTAATTTATGCCCTTGTGTTGCAGAATCTGGATCTCTTTTAAATGTCTGGTTCGACACTGCAGCCTGTTTCACCCCTAGCACAAGTTTCCTCTTGCTCTGTCAGAGTCCAGATGTCCTGAGGCCCTTGCAGAGCTCCTTGATGATGCAGGTATTTGGGACAAGGCTGTCTATGCAAAAAAAGTTCAGGAAACTGAAGAAAACACATGTATTATGCTGAATAATCTGTTGACACAGGTAAATGGTAACCCATGCGGGGAGCAAGACTTCTTCCTGCTCACTCCGAGATTGATGCTGCAGTGGGATGGGTGTCAGCAAGATCCCGGCTTCGTATGGAGTCCAGCCATGTCGGCTTTGGGACACCTCAGCCCATGCTACAGACACTGTAGCCACTTTCACACCACTGAGGTGTGAAACACTGGTCATCAGTGTAATATCAGAACTGACAAAGCTGTATTTTGTCAAGTTACAGTAACAAAAATCAAAAGCTTCTTGCTCTGCTTATCTCTTGCATTCCTCCCAGTGAAATGGAAGAATGTATACAGAGAAGAGTCGTGCAACAAGCTGTCGCATCAGCTTCAAAAGCAATGGCCCACACAAGCAAATTTGCCTACTATACAGTCTTGATATTTAAGATTATTTAGTCAAAGGTGGGAGAAAGCAAGAGGGGTGGGCTTTTGTTCCCAAAGAAAGCACTTCAGCCACTTCCAGAATGGGCCTGAGTTTTGACAGCAGCATCTACCCACAGACACAAGGTATGAATTGCTTAATTATCTGTGAAGATTACGGGAGCCATGTCATGCCTGACTCACCAGCAGTTATTTAAAAAGGAAAACCAAAAATGATTTGCAACTCCTTTTGGAAAATGGGCTATTCTAGCTTTCCTTCATGTGCACAGGGGTATTGCTGTGCATCTCCTGGCAGTGCTGTGCCCACCCTCGCTGGTGTGCAATGAGCAGGGACCAAATGAAACGCGGGCCTTGGGTATCACGATGCTAACAACCTTCCAAGGGACAATGCAAAGAAATAGAAGAAAAGCTGGAAAAAGTGATTTCCTGAAAAAGAACCAAACCCAAGCAAGTAAGGTCTTGGGGTTAAAGACTATTATTGTAGCACTAAGCATCTTTCCTTCCTCTATTTTACGTAGAAAACTTCCAGCATTTCCAGAACTGCCATTAAAATGAGCAAGACCAAATGATACTCCGTTTTGCAGTCTCTCATACTGCTGACGAGTGTTGAGCCCTTTAGCGTGACTCTGAACACAAAACTTACCTGTTGGATGTCATAGCGCAGTAAGTGGCACAGACTTGCTGATGAGCCCACAGTGTTGCACCAGTTGTAAGGCTCTTCTTCGCTGGTGCAATTTTTATCTTCTCAGGAGAGGTAGATGCTATACTGGTACATGTTACCACTAGTGAAGGCAGAGCTACACTTGTGGTGTCATCAAAATAACTATGTGATTAAAAAAAGAAACTTGTCTCTTGACATAGTTATAGTGGTAAAAAAAGTCCTATCTATGGAGGGGGCATAATTCGGAAATTGGGCTGAAAGCCTCAAACAACCCCTTCTTGAGATCTCCAGTGCTTTGGGAGTTTTGCAAATATTATATTTGAAAATAGCCTTCCTGTAGTATCTGAGTTCCTCCACTTCCAATCCCAGCAGATAGTGTGGAAGGGGGCAGAAATGTAATAGCAATAAAAAATAGCCATGGCTGACAATTATTTTGATCTTCTGAAAAAGCGGGGCGGGGGGGATCACAGAGAATTTTCTTCCTTTTATTTTTTTTCTTTCTTCTTTTCATTTATTTTTTTTTTCTTTCTTCCTTTCTCTCCTTCTTTCCCTGCCTCCTCCCTCCCTCCCTCCTCTCCTTCCCCCACCTTATTCCATACCCCTGCGGCCGCATCTCGCCACCCCCACCCCTCCACCCCCCCTCAAGCCCTTTTCAGCCCCTCTCGCCGCATCACTTTTTCCTCTTTTAATTCCTCCCACCTTTTCATCTCCCCCCCTAACCACCGCGGGCCGCCCGCCGGAACGGCGCCCCCCGCTCAGCCTCCGCGCTTGGCTTGGGGCGGTTTTAAGGCACAGAAACGGCTTTAAAAGCGCGGAGGGGCTGCGCAGCCGCTCCAGAGCAGGGCCGGGCTTAGAAAGCCTCATATACACTGCTATCTTCGGCGTTTCCTCCGCACTCCGCGTCCGCCACCCCCGGGGGATGCAGCCCCACGCTGCGCCCGGTTGCACGGACGCAGAGGGGACTTCGTCGCAAGTTCCTGCTGGTTTTCTTCTTTGGGAGGATGGGAAACAACGTTGAGTTGAGCATTTCAGTTACAGTGCTGTGAGCTGGGCTGCAAAGTGAAGAGTTGGTAAAAGCCTGTGAAATCTTGTTTCAACCCAGGCTGGTGCACATCAACTTCTGAGAACCTTCCCGGGTTGTCTCTTCCCACCCGGTGGCCAAGCCCAGGTGCAAGCCTTGGGTTGCCCACAGGAGGGATCAGCCAAGGGGACGCAACAGAGTCCTCAGTGAGGACCACAGGTGGCCCTAAGCGCTCTGGCAGCTGAGGTGCTCCCCGGCTGGGCCCACCAAACGGGTGGCAGCTCTCAGCTGTCATCTCTGCGTGCCGCAACTCCTCCTCTGCAAAACAGCAATACCTCCCACCGCCTCCCTGACGTGGAGCAGTGAGCAGCAAACACGAAGCCGCATGCTGAACTGAATATCACGGAGCTGCTCGTACAGTGAACACTGTCCGTTCCGTGCGTGCAGCGGAGCAGGAACCTTCAGATAAAGAGTTTTTAGTCATGGAATTAAAAGCTTTCACATTATCCCTGCGCAAAATGGAGTGAATTAAAGGACTGGCAGGAAAACTTCACTCTTCTTTCCATCGCTTGCTTGATGCCACTGCCGTAACATCACTCTTTGCACGCCGTCCTTCTGTAATGGCCACAAATAAAGCAAAGAGAGAAACCAGAACATACTATGGTGGGGTACAATTATAAAAGAAGTTTTCCTGGAGCAGCTTTGGATGCTTTGTGTGACATATTTGTCGCACATGCAAATTTGCACATAACTAAACACAAATTTAGCAGCAACCTCTGAATTGTCTGGATAGGCTCAAAGTGACAGTCACTTCTAAGCAACAGGACAGTCATCTTAAAATTGTTAAAAATACTTGATTTTGAGCTGTGGTGATCGGTCAGATATTGCACATTTAGCCTGGCATTAATCTAGGACCAAGTATTTGGAGTTGGCTGTGAAGAAAACACACTTTAACATTTGACAAACAGGCAGCTGGGCTTGTTTGAAGCTGGTCAGCAATTTGGAAGGCTAAAGCAGTCCCAGAATAGGGATTCACGAGTGCAGGTGCGCTGCTTAAAGGTGAATGACAGATGAAATTGATTCCAGGAGTATAAAAAGGTTACCTAGATGATGATAGGACTGGTCATAGCACCTTCTGGAAAAAAATTGTTCCAGGTTTCTTTTCTCATTTACATCTCAAACTATTTCAAGCAGCTAAAATAAAATGCAGGGCAGTTGGCATGAGATTTATTTAGGAAAAAAATATTTACTGAAAAATCATTAAGGTTTTCTTCTAATTTATTTTTTCAGTCTTGAAGTTTCATCAATATTTTGACTTTGGAAATAAAATTCAAGTAGTTCTACACATGCAATAAAAAGGGTGTGCATGTACATTTTTATTGCATTACTATATACATTTTCTATTTTCCTGGACTACTTTGCCCCATTTGTTAACCTGAGCCTCATGTGCTGAGGGTAATAGGAAAATACTTTTATCAGATAGAATCGTTGACACATTCATGCTCAGGGTTTCTCTGCTTGTTCAGCTTCGTATTCACTTATTTCCTGATGTAGCAAGTGTATCCCGTGCTTGAAACCTGGCATGCCGGTGGGAAACGTCCCGATCCTGTAGACACTGCTGTAGGAAGACCCAGTTGAAACAATGGAGTACGTGTTTGAGCAAGAGCTGCTCACGTGAGTATGGATTTGAGTCATCAAAGCCCAAAAGGACCGGTAAGGAGGAGGAAGCTGTTTCATCCAATGCCTGGTAGCAGGAGATGTAAATACATAACCCAGATGAACAGGCTGACTTTTGTGGCTCATATGCACAGTAGTTGTGCTAAATTGGGTGGTATTATTTGGAAAGCACAACAGAAAAGACGAGAGGCATACGGGGGAGCTCTGAAACACAGATAGTCCGGAGCAGGATGTTGGGGTGGGTATATGAAATCACAGAGGTGCAAACAGTGTTTGTTCTCCATCTGAACCCAAAGTGGAGCATCTTAGCCTAAAAAAAAAAAAAAAGAAGTCAGCTTTTAGGTGTGGCAGCAGTGTGTGTGACGCATGAGCTGGTGACATAGCTGGCCACTGAGCAAGGTTGGCGACTTCTGGGCAGCAGGTTCCCTTGCACTGTCCCTGCTTCCCGTGTGGGAGGCAGGAAGGCACAGTTCAGCCTATTCTTTCCGATGCTCTGATTTTCATCTGCTGCACAGTGAACATGACACACTGCAGAGAGCAGCTCTCACCTCAGCTTGAGGTGTCCACCCATGGCGGGGGTCCACCAGCCTGCCGAGGCCACGGGGTCGGGCATGCGGTGAATCCCCACCCCAGGGGGCATGTGGGATGCTCGTATCTTCTGCGATGCTTGGTCTCGATTAAGGTATGATGAAACAAGGCCTCAAGCCTCAAACGTGCCGAGGGGTAACTTGATATAAACGTGCAGCTGCGCTGATCTCCTGAAAAGGGGGCGAGTTGCACATTTTGCAATTAGGGTGAGCTAATTGTATGTGCACAGGCGGTTGCCACAGCTCAGCTGATGGGTGGTAACTTATTAAACCACCGTAATGTGAGCACTTTGAGTCATGAAACCATACCCAAAGTGTTTGCAGACTCAGGGCCTGAGAACCCATTGCCCTCCCATTCCGTTGCACCGTCATCTCGAGGACAAGGAGAGGAATTGAAAACCTGTGCTGTATAGCCTGATGCAAAATTAATTTTCCCAAGGGATTCTTAAATTTCTGGCCAGAATTTCAAAGAATTAACAATGTTTTCTTTTTAAATGACCTTGAAGCAAAATATTCATTTTAAGTGGGAATATTTGGGAAAGAAAGAGTTCTGGAAATTTTCAGCATAAACACTAATTCTTGTAAAAAAACATGAAGAAGGCCTAAATTTCCCCTAAGTATCTGGGTCTTGTGTTTCTTACCTGTTAGGGATCTCTGCAGTCCCAGAGCCATCCAGAAGAGAACCTGTCCGATTTGGTGGAACTCTGGCCGCAGTATTTTTTTAGATGCAATGTACTTTTAATCTGTAGCGCTTGCTAGTTTCTTAGAAGCTTGAAGAGAAAATTACCTGCCAAATGCTTTCGTTCCTCTGTACTTGGTCATTAATTTTGTGCGCACAAGCATGTGACTGGGCAAAAAGAGTTGAAATCAGCCTGGGGTTTTTGTTGGTTTGGTTGGTTTTGTTTTTTTTCCTGAGCCTTCCTGATGCCAAAGCTGTTAGGAATGCTGATGGTGTGAGCTTTGACCTGCAGAGCATAGCTCAGATTCTGGCCCTGGTGAAGTCAACAGGATCTTGCTATTGATTTTCAGACCAACATTTCAGCGCACTGAGCTGGATACAAGTGAGAGGCATAGAGAGTCCTTGGGGAAGCTTTTCTTTTAAACGACTTTTTAATGAAACTGGAGATAAAAGCATTTGTGCTAGGGGCTAATGCCCTGCTGAAGGAACCGGAACACAGACCCTGAAATCGGGTGCTTGGGTGTGATAGCAGATAGAGTGCACTAATAGAAACAAGTGTAGAACACCAGGGAGTGACCTGCCTAAATGGTGAGACATAAAGAAACAGCTCCTCGCAGCCAGGGCGAGAGGCGTCTGGGCTCCGGTGGGTGGCTGTCACACCAAAGTGTATGGGGGGGAAGGGGGGGACGGGACGGGGACAGTGGATGGAGGGACGATGGCATCTCTTTGTCCTCTGCAAAGCAGGTAGACGTCAGGGCTGCAGCTGCCTTCAGCCAGGTTTCCTCCTCCGGCCTCTCTGCTGGACATGTCTCTCTCCTCCGAGGGGATAACAGAATCACACAGGATCACAGAACGGTCAGGGTTGGAAGGGACCTTAGGAGATCACCTAGTCCAACCCCCCTGCCCGAGCAGGCTCACCTAGAGCAGGTTGCACAAGAATGCGTCCAAGTGAGTTTTGAATATCTCCAGAGAAGGAGATCCCACAACCTCTCTGGGCAGCCTGTTCCAGTGCTCTGCCACCCTCAAATAACTTTAGAAAAATTGTCAAAATACTCATTTCACAGGACTTCTTCAGGCCCCCATCCTTCCACTGTGAAGGGTGGTGCCAACAACAGTAGATACACACTGACTAATACCTGTGTAGGGATAAGTATAACACCTATGTGTGCATCCCTTCTGTTTATTTGCTGTCTGCCGTTATGCTCAGCGTTGCCCTGGAGATCACAATATTTTGGCAAACACCACCATGTTATTCTCCCAACAGAGCCCTTTTCCCTCTTCCCGTGAGGGAGGGAGTCACACTTACAGGAAAAAAAAGTGATATCTGGTGCTGGCCTGAGCTTCGTGTTTTTTCTTCCCATTTCTAAATGAATCCTAAGCTGAGACATCCCATGCAAAATTTCAACCCAGGGCAGTTGTCTGCATTCACACTAAGAACCAGTGAATAAGTGTTTTGAGGTAGCCTTAATTATAGCTGTGAGAATGACACCAGTGTAACATTTAACGTGTGAACATAAAATATGGCAAATCAATCAGAGTATGGAACCACACTCGGAAAGTATTCAGCTGATGATGTTCACGATCACACATTAAAAAAAAAAAAAAAAATCACATGTGGAAATTCACTCCTCCAGCCAATGGAAAGAGATACTTTTCTATCTCATAGTCTACAAAATTCCCTCACCCACTACCCAAATCACAGTTAAAAGGAGCTTAATTTATTCTTTTTCAAAAAAAAAAAAAAAGAAAAAAAGTTTTACAAGCCGTTATTCCTGCTCAGCAATCACACAGACATTAAATCTTATTGCAAAAAGAGGGGGGGAATGCCTCTTTGCAGCATTACAGCTGCAGCTGTTTGACAGAAGTAAGTGACTTCATAAACCCTCCTGATTTGGCAGTAGGAGTGCAGGGTTTTATGCTGTCTGCTGCACAGTCACAGGGGCTGAGAAAGCTCTGCAAAGCAATCTTCACAAATGTTTCACCTCAGTTTATAAATACCTTTGCTTCACCGTGTTAATGCCTCTTTTGCTTTGCTTTCCATTCACCTCCACTGGATCATCTACCAAGACCTTTTATTGCTTTAAAGTGATTGATCCCACTGGTCCCACATATTTTTCTTCTTTTTTTTTTTCTCTTTTCTCAACGGAAGATACTGCACCTTCACCTTTCCAGTAGTTTGTTGGCTTATTATGGTAAAATGCAGTAAAGATTTAGCAGACTGTCTTTATTTGCAGCATAATCAGGCTGTATACCTTCTCATGAAAGAGTCCACACTTAAGCACTGTATTTCCTCTGTCTCTCTCAAGTGTCCACGCCATAAAGAATCACTTCAAAACACATTTTCCTGAGCTGTGATGAAAATACAGAGATTTCTGATGGTTGTCTTCTCAGCCTCCACCTTTCTGTATTCATTTTGAGACCTTATTATTTAAGAATGAATTCCTCTTCCTCCACAGCAACTTCTGGAGATGTTCCCAGCTCTCATTAACATGACTTTGATATAAGTTTGATATGAG